TATCGTTTTGCATAGTACATGCACCTAAATCACAGCGAAATGTCTCCAACTCATCATCTACCACATTCGGTGGTTCCTCCTCTAATACCCAATTGCCATAAATGTCAAACCTTTCAAAGTCGATAGGATCATAATTCCGACTCTTGAAATGATTCCTAAACAATATTTGTTATCCAAGTAAAACAATCAAATAAAATTCTAGTAAAAGAAAATCAAATAAATAATAAAATGATTGAAACTTTTATTTCAATAACATTACCGTTGTTGCAATCTTAAATTGCAGTGAACATATACAAGATCATTCAGTTTTTGGTGCTCGAATCTATCGGTTTTTAGAATGGATATGTTCAAACATACTTCAATTCCTCTCGCAACCTGAAGAACTGCATGTTTGACTTAATACTCGAATTGCAAGTGTTTGTAGGTTTGGTGCACTACTACCATAACAACGCATATCCTCTCATCCTTCACAATTCACGCAATGGTAAGAATCATCTCCCTCAAATTTTCATCAGTCCAGTTTCACATTTGGAAAGATCACGTTGATGCTAGAACCTCAGTTTCTAGCACCAACGAGATTATGATTTTCACACAAACCTAAATTCGAATACACCACCAAACTGCAAAGCTACAAGCAGTCACACAAACCCAGCCTCAACCCAGGTTTCGAACCACACACTGCAGCCACCAACACCCAAGCTGCAGCCCCCAATCCACATTCCAGCCACCCATTTCGAGCCTCCAATGAAGCTGCCACCAGTCACCAAACAACCAACTGACAGCCCCTACACCCTGAAAATCGACACCAAACAACCCCTATTTCACCCCCAAAATCAACCACAAATGGCCCCAAAAATTAAGAACTAACTTAACCCATGAACTTACTTCCTTTCCCAACCTTTTTCAGCTTGATTACCACCAAGAAACTCCAAAGAAAACGAACCTCCAAGCCTCGTTTTCTTTCGGACAGTACACCGAACAACCCTCTCAGCTCGCCTCCACCCACACCCCGACGCCACCACACGACGGTGGTGCTGAGGCCGCTTCGTCGGCGGTCGAACCTGAGGAAGGGGTATAGCCCCTTCCCCCGTCGCTGCTCTCTCTCTCTCTCTCTCTTTCTCTCTCTGCTCGTGTTAATCGAATTGAGAGAGAAAAGAGAGTGATAAATATATAATTTATTCTATAATTTGATTTTTAGAAATTTACCCATTAGGCCCCTGAACTTTATTTATATCATTTTAAGTTATTTATTTCAGTTCCAAAATTTCAGTAATTAGTAAATCAGTCACTGGAGTTCTGTTTCTTACAATTAGCCCACTGTTTTGAAAATATGATTTTCAGTCCTTAAGCTTTTCAATTTCAGTTTTAATAAATTTCTAATTTAGCCCCTAAACTTTATTTTATCACTTTAAAACTTTAAATTTTTGAATACTAATTCAAAACTTATTTTCTATTTTGGCTAGATGAAATGTACAGACGATTAGGATATTGAGGTTACTTCCCGCTCTACGTTTTACGTGACTCGAGATAATTTGAAGTAGACTCGCCACCATTAATTAGTTTAAATTATAATTGCATGTATTATATGAATCTGCGTGATTTATATGCTTTAATGCATAAGATGAGAATATTTCTTATGAGATATATGATGTTGTTATACTTGTCATAACTTATATGCTTTAATGCATGAGAAGAGACGAGTATCCCTTATGAAATACGATGAGAATGTTATGCATAACTCATGTACTTAAATGCATGATACGAGACTACCTACACCCTAAGATTTTGAAGAGCCTGTGATTTTTAAAGAAAATGAGCCTATGATGAGGATAATGCTATCACGGTATAAATTGCATGATTACGTGTTCAATTATTCTGTAAATAAATTATTGGTGATGAGTCTATTGAGTATTTCTTTGAAATACTCATTCCGTTATTTTAACGACATTTGCAGATTTTGGAGATGGTCGGATTTAATGGGCAGTGATGGCAACGATTTAATGGATGAAGTTATTTACCTTTGAAATTTACGTATTTGAACGTTATTAACGTACTTGTTATTTCAGTTATTTCAAAAACTTGAGATTTAAGGTTTAATCAATTTTCTTAAATGAATCAAATGAGTTTTGTTGTCGACAAGGTTTTACAATTATAAATGTGAAGTTCAAAATTTAGTTATTTCTGTGAATCTTTTTAGTTAATTCAAGACAAATGAAGATGATGTGGCACTCCGGGTTCACGGAACTCGGGGCATTACAAGGGCGTTGAAACGATCATCATCATCCAAGTTTGCGATTTCCTTGATAATATCCCAACAATTATGTTGTCTAGTGTTAATTGATTCAATAGCTCGAGTGATCTGGTCAACTATACAAGCAAGTTTTTTGATAACATTTGATTGAGTACTTTTGGGATCAAATGAACTAGAATTTGGTTCAAACTTGGTTCTACTTCGTTTTTGATTTGATGGGGGAACTTCTGAACTTATAGGATCTTGCTTATCAGTTGGTATAAATGCTTTAGGATCAGAATCATACATGAAGTCACCTATTAAACCGTCACTAGCTCTTCTTTCTTCTGTATAAAATGTTCTTGCATCAGTATCATCCCCTAGTGCAATTGAGTGTGTCCCAACACCACTTCCAACTGCAATTCTCAAATCTTCATAGTCTGCAAAAGTGTCTGTGTGCTAACTTTTATCCTCAAGGTGAGACAATTAAACAAAATATTAAGTGCCAACATATGAAACATACACATAATTAACCAATAGCTTAAATTTTATATTTTTTAAATGAAGTAATAAGAGATGTTCACCATAAAGCATCCCATACTTCATCACTAACAGTGAATTTCTTAATCACATAATCACATCCAAACCCAGAGTCAAGCTTAGAATACTTGTTGTACTGTTTTTTTAACCATTTCACACAACTTTTATATTGGGTATAAGTGTTTTCAATCCCAAGCTTTTGGTTAAGGAGGGTGAGTATGTATTTCTCTACAATTATCTTGCTCAACACACCATTATTATCACGCTAGTCAGGAGTGGAAGCATCAACCATGAGTTTTAGCAGCTCATTGCTCTCTTCCCACATCCACTTCTCATATTTTTCAATAAAATTTCCTTGTACCTTGTTATTTCCTTGTGTTGAATCTTCCATTAATACTACTATCATATTGTACACGCAATGTATTAAAATGCAAACGAGCTATGAATGACAAAGATGGACTAAAATGTGAACTAAAATTAAAAATAACAGTGAAAAATGTAAAGTTATTCTTATATAGTTTCTGCATTTGAATTTATTAGCTATATGTTTCTAGTTCTAGTAGAACACTAGAAGAGAAATCAAAACTCCCTTATTGAAGCTTTCAATCTGAAGTAAAATATATAGTCAATTCCAGAATATAAATTCAAGGGGAATTCAAGCTTCCGTAAAATTATATTAATACTTGATGTTTGACCTGAATTGACCCATCGGTTGAATCATCGGGTCACCTGTCGACCCGCTGCATTGTCCAGGTCTAATGTCTCAACTTAAAAAGTTGTTTCCTTGTATAAATGAAAAAGTGATAGCCTTTTAGTTTTGACTTTGATTAGCAAGAAAGCAAAACATTGAACCGAGACAGCCACATAATCAAATCATTAGGAATATGTAACTATCAATATCACAGTTAAGGAAGAAGGGGGATGCCACAAATATATACTTTTATTGTTATTCTACATTTACATAGTAAAATAGTAACTATCGTTTCAATCCAATCCATTTAAGTCTTTATGAACTCGATTTTTATTTTATTTTTACAGGAATTTCTTATTCACAATTTTTTTCCATTGAGAATCTATTGCAAAAATATTTGACTTACGAATTTAAAATATATTATTTATTCTCAAACATTTCAAGACAACGTTTTTGCACACGCTCTTTAAGCAGTTTTAAATTTATCTCAATATTTTTCATTACTTATAAATTTTATTTCTTGTTTAAGTTCTCTAAATTTAGGTCTATGTCACACATCAAACCAGTGTCAAAAATGCTACCTACCAAACCATTAAATGCCACAATACACGACGAAACGCTAGTAACGGAAGATAAAAGATGAAGATATATTGCTTGGTAGACCAAACATCAAAGAGATCTCCCCTCGCGTTATATATAATGCACTTGTATAGAGGTGTAAAAGTAAATCAGACCATCAAGAGTCGAGAAAACTTGCAAATTCAGTCCCATCCAATCAGGACACGTGCTTTACCAAGGGACAAGTGGGCCACGCCTCATTGTCTAGGACTAGACTCGTGGGGGGACGTCTATCCTATTCTTAGGTATGGAATTCTCTACACAAGGGCAAAAGAGCCATTTCCCAGCGTCATTTTTTTACTTCCAAAAACATTATCGAGACAGGCTCATGTGTAAGGGACAAAGTAGATATTCTAACACCAATTGCTCAACAATGAAATATTTATTAAAACTACTTAAGTTGTTTCACTATATATATAGATGAAAAATGATGGCTTTTTTTAAAAAAAAAGTTCTGACTTGATCAACAAGAAAATAAAATATTGAAACATGACAAGCCACGGAATCGGATCATTAGGAATATGTGACTATCGACCCCAACTATAAAATTTATGACAAGACACAATTTGTAGCAATAATTTAACAGGGTAATATCAAAATGTGTTCCAACAAACACATATAAATTAATCCTTAACAAGATAGAAAAAATCACACTTCATAATTTAGTTCATATCTTTATTGTTTGGGCCAAAAAAGGAGGGTATGTTGAAGACCCTTTGGACGGCTCTAATAGCACAGGAAAACCAAAAGGACTGCAAACTCCCTCACATAAACACACTCTAAATTACAAACGAATACTTTTGTGAAATCTTCTCGAGAACTTAATCTCCGAGTTCTTGAGACGACACAACACTCTCGGGAAACTATATAACTTAAAGATAGTAATTCTAATAATAATTAAAATCCTACTAGCTGCAAAATTTATGGGCAAGCTATATTGAGGGGTGCAGGAGTTCCATTCAATCCGGTTGCTTCTCCATTCATCGCTGGTTCTTCGTTCACCCAAGTTAAGACTTCGTTGCAAACCTCAAAGCTGAAGTCAAAGTCAAAATCCGGCAGGGCGCTAGGCTGACCTGCGTCCTCGAACCCACAGATTGGGAGATCTTCGAAACCACTGAATAAATCATCCAACGGTGGCTCAAAATCATCCATAGCCATTAGAGAGTCAATCTCAAAATCCAAGTCCATTCCTTCTCCAATTTGAGCCATCGATAACAATTCCTTATCCATTAGTCCTGAATCAGCCATTTTCTCGTCAACATTAGCCTCAATGTTCTGGGGATTCTTATCACCAAACTTGACATTGGTTCCTAAAATCGAGGTTAAAGAATCCAATTCAAGCACCGATTCTGGGGATGTTTTCGAAGTAAGTGACAACATACTTCCATTCGAGTCCTCAGAGATACAACAAGCATAAAGATCTTTGTTCGGGTTCATAACGGGCTCAGAATCCACCACATAACAATCAGTTTTCATTTGGTTTTTGTTGTTTGAACTCTTATCAGATGAGTCCATACTAATAGCCACCGCTGCCTCAAATTCCAGGCGTTTCATTTCATAAGCTTTCGATGCCTCCTCAGCAGTATTGTAAGTACCCAACCAGACCCTTCTGTGCTTAAAAGGGTCACGAATTTCAGCAGCCCATTTGCCCCATTTCCGTTGCCGAACACCTTTGTATTTCCCTGGAACAATACTCCGCTTGTTTGCAGTAACGGCTAAAACCCTCTTCTTCTTGAGGTTCTTTTCCTCATCATTGCTTTCTTGAACTGAACTCTCTGTTTCAAGGGTTTTAGGTGTTTGATTAAAGTCCCCAGTCGGATAAAAAATATCCCGAACAACTCGCTTAATTTTCTTCTCACAGACTCCCTCATCATCAGATGAATCGGTAGCATCCGGGTCGTTGTATACAATCCGGACCCTCCTCATGGGTTTGGCAGGTTCACCCTTGTTTCTTAGTTTTTTGCCAACACTTTGTTGATTCAATGACAATTGTCTCCGAGGCTCAGGCATCTTTAATTTGCCTTAATAACTCAAAAACCCCTCAAAAGAATACCCAGAAAATTGTGGTTCTCCAAAATATATTAAAGAAAAAAGCGGGGAAAAAGTAAATTGATTTCAAAGAAATGATGTATCAAGGATTGTTGAGTGGACCTCTCAAGAACACAAAAAGATTTAATGATCGCTTTATGAGATATCCACCAAAACAATCAACACCAGAACAAGTCCTGCAACACACAAAACCCAGAAAAATTAACACAAAATTTATTGCAAATCAACCATTAAAATCACCTAAAAACCCACAACAAAAATATAAATCTAAAAAATCTCACAAAACCCCCCATAAAAGCACAAACATATCATACGAATCTCACAGAAACATTAATACATATAAATACACTCACTTATACATTTATATACACGAGCATCCACAAACAAACATGTATAAAAGATGTGTGTACAAATTGAAGAAAACCCCATATAAGGGTTTAAGGTAGAAGGCGTACCTTTTAGGCCTCAAACGCATCGAAACCGTTGGGAAAGGAAGGTGATTGCTCTGCTGGATTTCGCAGCAGAGGGATTTTTGCATGCAGAGAGCAGAGGAAGATTTGTAAGAACAAGAACAGAGCTTCACCGGAGCCCCAAACACAACACCCAAATCAAAACTTGCCGACATAAAATCCCTTGATTCCAAAATCTCCCTTCTAAGAGAAAGAGCACCCAAAAAAGAGAGAGAAAATCGGATCAGATAAAAGTATTTATATATAGAAAGAAACACAAACCCAGTATCTCTATCTATCAAGAACGGAAGAAGTAAAAAAGGATTAGGAATCTATGGTTACGATTTCTCCTGCATACAAAGTGACAAAGATGAATTTACGGTAATATCGAAAATTTGCAGACACAACAGTATATAGAATAGACCTGTTCTCCAATCTCCCTCCCAGACTAGTAGGCTAGCATAAAACACTGGGTTTTTGTGTGTATACACACTACATAGAGTGCCAATCAAATACTGTAAAATTTATTTATTTATTTTTTACTTTCCACAAACAACCATTGACTGAACGAAACGCAAATCTCAAGAAAAAGAAAAAAAATATCATGTGTCACATCGAAAATCTAAATAAATCAGAAATTTTGACATATAAAATAAAATTGTACATACATACGAAAGGGTATGGCGTTTCCAGTACCTTTTTTACTGTGTCCTTTTCTCTTTCCCTCACTCTGCTTGGTGATATATAACAATAGTGTTCTTGGCGTTAACCTTCCCCAAGCGGTCAAATTGGTGGTGGGGTGGTGTTGTATATATAGTGTACGTATAGATTTGTTTCATGTATGTGTAAATTGTGTGTATGCATGCATTTAAGGTATTAAATAAATAAGGAAGTGAAATATTAATTATTGTTATTTATTATTGTATACCAAATATGAATGAGTGATGAGCTGGCGGTGGACATTCATGTGGCATGAGCATATCCCATACCCATGTCATGCTTATCAAGCGATGCCAATGATGCCATGGTTGGTAAAAAATAAAATACTCCACAGCTGGCAGAATAAACACTCAAAAATCGGTTGAAAAAAATCACGTACCAATTAAAATGATTATTTTCCGGTGCGTGTTCACACGCGATAATGATACTGGTGGGCTTTGTGTGGAAGGTGGATTAATGCCGCGATTCGTCAACGTACTGAATGGCGTTTCTGTATTCTGATAATCGTTTACAGCTATTTTTGCGAGCGGACGATTGTAGAGGCGTAGTTGTTTAAAATTACATTTCCGCCACTCAAGTGATTACGTAACTAATTCACCCATTTTAAAAGGAATTCTTTATTTCTTTAGATTTTTCCTTTTATTTTTCTGATTTCGTAATAAATCCCATAAATAAAGGGGATGAGTTTCACCAAACTCTCTTGGAATTATATTCACTTGAGATTTTGTTTTCCAAAGTGGTTATACTGAATTCAATTATGTACAATCTTAGTACTATAGAGAATTAAATAACCGACTTAGTTTCAAAAGTAAAATCCAATTTAATTATGTTTTCTATATTATAAAGTATAATTAAAGAAGATTGAACAATTTGTCAACAAAAAAAAAGATTAAACAATATAATCATTATAATTTTATATTTTCTATTCTAACTAATTCTATCAACGTTGCATTTTAAATTTTCTTTAGTTGGTGTTTGGAGACAAGGCGAGTTTTGAGGATTAAGATGATATTTTTGTTTGTCAAGCTCCGTTTAGATCGACTACGAAATGTACAAATTTGATGAATAAGGTCGCTGAATATTAATGCAAAGGCTTGGTTGAAGTCTTGAAGAAAAGTTTTAAATGAGTTAAGATGTGATTTTTTTTTACCGAGCTTGAGTTTAAATCAACTCGGTAATCTGACCTCGACAAAATTATCTTTACAAATTTGATGGAAAAGAACGATGGATGTTAATGCAAATGTTTGATTCTGTAAGAGTCATAAATGAGCTCAGATGAGATTTTGGTTTTCAAGCTCACGTATAGATCAACTTAGTAATCTTGCCTCGATAATATGGATGGACATTTTAACTTGAACTGAACCTCCTGTTTCGATAAGATTCTTGAAAAAATAAGGATTGGAACTAAGAATTGATCAATTTTCGAATGATTTTTGGTTCTTGAACCAGAACCGTTAGTACTCGACGCTGAAATTGAATTTTTTTAAAAAAAAAATTTACAGTAACAAGTTTCCAAATGCCTTGATCAATCAAATTCATTCATTTGAATAATCAAAACATATCACTCTCCTTCGTAACTACTCATTATCGTACTTTATGCATTGTCCGTTCTATAAGCCCTTCTTGAGGCGCCCGTCCTATAAACCCTTCTTGAGGTGCCACACACAGAGTCACTTACGAGATGGATATTATTACACTAGATATAAATGTTATTTGATACTATATTTGCAGTTGATTAAAAAAATTGTTGAAATATATATTTGGTGACATATTTTGTTTCTTTTATTTTTGCTATATATTAGGAAGATAATTTGTATTGTCAAGTCAATTTTTTTTTTTTTTAAATAATATGGGTAGAACCAGGATTGTCAGTTCAAGTTCGACTTCAGTAATTACGTTGACACGAATTGTTATATTGGTTGGTCGATTGCGGGCATTGAAATATTTGAACCTACTCACCTAGCTTCCATGCCTACTAGACAAAATCATTTTATAAACTTGATGAATAAGGCAGAATGGATATTAAGACAAATGATCGATTGTAGAATAGTTTTAAATGAGCTAAGATGAGATTTTTATTTTTTCAAGTTCAGGTTTAGATAGGGATATAAACTAGCCAATATGGCTCACAAGCCTAAAGTCGCAGCTCAGGAAAAAAATGTCTTGAGTTTTTTTGGCCCAAACCGAGTCGTGCTTTTGCTCTACAAAAAAAAATGGCTCGACTCGGGCTTTCGACTAGGGCTACATGAGCCGTAAATGGCTAGTGTCACTGGCCATTTTGGCCAACCGTATGGGCCAGCTCGGGCTCGACCCAATGCCAAAAAATAATGCTCGGCTCGAGCCTTGAGCCGAACCGAGCCGGTTCGGTTTTTCCCGGGCTGAGCTACGGGTTGTCCAAGCCGACGAGTCAAATTAACATTTCTAAATTTAGATATACTATGCAATATAGGCAATTTGATGAATACAAATGGTAGAGATTAACGCTAATGCTTGATTGTAGACGAGTTAAAATGAGTTAAGATAAGATTTTTGCTTTTCGTGCTGAAGTTTAAATCAACTTGGTTATTTTAATTTTTACTAATTTGATTAATAAGGACAATGGATATTAATGCAAAAAACTTGATTGTAGAAGATTTATAATGAATTAATATGAGATTTTCTTTTTCAAACTCGATATTAGATCAACTACGTAATCTACAGATTTGATTGATGATACGACGGATATTAATGCAACGGGTTTGATCTTCTACCCATAGTGGGCAGGAGTTATGATACCCACTGTTAGTGTGACAATATGTGGTGTTTGCACTTCAGCAGTGGGGGTATGACGTAGCAACACCACATGTTGCTATACTTACAGTGGACATTATAACTCCTGCCCACAGTTGGCAAGAGATCGGGTCAGATCAATGCAAAGGCTTGATTGTAGAAGAGTTATAAATGAGTTAATATGATATTTTTGTGTTCAAGCTTGAGTTTAGATCAACTCGATAATCTTACCTTACCAGAATTATTTTTCAAATTTGATGAATAAGGATGATCAGTGTTAATGCAAAGGCTTTGTAGTATAAGAGTTATAAATGAAGATGAGATTTTGTTTTTCAAGGTCGAGTTTAGATAAACTCAATAATCTTACCTTGGCAAATCATTTTACGAATTTAATGACTAAGGACAATGGATATTAATGCAAAGGATTTATCGTAGAATAGTACTCCCTCCGTCCCATATATATAAGCTTGTTTCATTTTTCACGCGGATTAAGAAATTTTATTTAATGTTATTAGAAAAGCAATTGTTATCAATAACTTTTCAAGTTTATCCCTATTTAATTTTCAACAACTAGAAGTAAATTATTGTTACAATTAGTAACTAGGCAAATTAAATAAGGGTATATTAGTAAAAGAATAAAACATAACATTCCCAATTAAGAAACAAGTCTATATATTTGGAACAAGAAAAAAGGAAACTCAGTCTATATATATGGGACGGAGGGAGTAATAAATGAGTTAAGATGAGAATTTTTGCATTTCAAGTTCCAATATAGGTCAACTACTCAATGTGCAAAGTTGATGAATATGAATGATGGATATTAAAGGTCTGGTTTTGGAAAAGTTATAAATGAATTAAGATGAGATTTGTTTCTCAAGCTCGAGTTTAGATCAACTCGGTAATCTTTTTACGACAAAATCAATTTACAAATTTGATGAATAAGGACAATGGATACTAATGCAATGATGTGATTGTAGAATAGTTATAGGATACTAATGCAAAGATTTGATTGTAGAATAGTTATAAATGGTCAACAATCTCAACTCAATAATCTTATCTCAACGAAATCAGTTTACAAATTTGATGAATAAGGACAATTGATATTAATGCAAATATTTGATTGTAGAAGAGTTATAAAAGAATGGAGTTGAGATTTTAATTTTTATCAAGCTTGATTTTAGATATACTCAATAATCTTGCCTCGACAAACTCATTTTACAAATTTAATGAATAAGGACGATGGTTATTAATGCGAAGGATTTGTCGTAGAATGGTAATAAATGAGTCAAGAAGAGAATTTTTGTTTTTCAAGCTCGAATATTAGGTCAACTACGCAAATGTGAACTTGTTGAATAGTGAAGACGGATATTAATGCAAAGGCTTTATTGTAGAAGAGTTAAAAAATTTATGTTTTTCAAGCTTGAGTTTAGATCAACTTGATAATCTTACCTCGACAAAATCATTTTATAAATTTGATGAATATGGATAATTGATTGCAAAGGCTAATTTCAGAAGAGTTGTCAATGAGCTCAGATGAGAATTTTGTTTTTCAAGCTCGAGTTTAGATAAGCTCAGTAATCTTACTTGGACTAAATCATTTACAAATTTCATGAATAAGGATGATTGATATTAATGCGAGATTTTTGTTTATTCAAGCTGGAGTTGATATAGTCGATGATCTTACCTCGAAAATATCATTTTACAAATTTAATGAATAAGGACGATGGATATTAATGCAAAGGATTCATTGTAGAACAATAATAAATGAGTTAAGATGAGAATTTTTGTTTTTCAAGCTTGAGTTTAGATCAACTCGATAATCTTACTTCCACAAAATTATTTTACAAATTTGATGAATAAGGACAATGGATATTAATGCAAATACCAATAGTAGAAGAGTAATAAATGTCTCAAGAAAATGTGTGAAGTAAAAGTAATATGTCCTAGGTCCAATTGTTAGGAGGCTTAACAATTACTATTGGACCGAAATTATTAATATTCAATAATTGGGCCGATCAGGGTTGCAGTTTATTTCTTGCTAGCACAAGAAAAATAGGAAAAACCTTAAACCTAGTTATACAAATCAAAATGTCGCCATCTTACAACCATTGGTTGTCGCCTTAATCTATTAATGGTGAGGAAGTTCTAATTTCGTTCTCATCAAGTGGATTTTTATTAGAGGCTAGATGTTTGGACAGTTGTGGTAGGCTGAGATCGTGGGATTTGATATCATGCGTGTTGGAATTTAATGGTTTTTAATAGATGTGATTTAAATATTTTAATATGTGAATTGAAAAAGTTTCCAATATCTTTGATAACTATTCGCAACTTTTCAAATACAAATGGTGCATATAGAAGAGTCTTGAATTTTCGAATTAGGTGTGATTATTCAAATAGGTGCATAATGAAAAGTAATAAACCTTGGTAGGTTGTGATCTCGACCGTCGATCATGTCCCAATCTAAAAAGGTGTGATCTAATGATCTAGATTAATTTATGCCAAAAGGTAC